CTCCAGACTTCGACTTCAGCCCAGCCTGAACCACCGAGCCATCTCTAGCTGATCCCACTGAATGTGTAAGGTAGCCTCCTTGAACCTGGGTCCCAATCCTACTGATCTCCATGTGATCCATCACAGCTCTATGAAAGTTAGCTGCTGCACTCCACATACAATCACACCATTCAGTTTGCCCAGTGCATCCTTTGTGGTGCATTACTTTTAAGTCACAACACAATTTCAAAAGACTTTTAAACAAACGTGTCCTGAGGATCAAATATCTGGGAAACATCATTTCAAACCATACGTGATATGCATTATCTAAGCAGTATATTGTTTTACTTTTAAAGCTTCATGTTTCACAGCATCGTACTGGTGCAAAAGCGAGTAACCTCATCCTAAGCACAAGGCACAACGAAGGACAGGAGTGGAGCAGTAATGTATTGTCAAGTTTCACAAGATCAGCTCCAGTTAGCATCCCCTCTAGCCTTCCCTCTGCTAAACCTGAACTTACTAAGCGACTAGGCAAGCAGTTAATGTTTGCAAATGAAAAAGCAGTTGTGGGGAACGGGGATTCTCAAAATCCCAAAAGCATCCTGATAAGGACTTGCATGATTCCAGAGCTTACGTGGTACTAAGGTATCAGTTGAGAGAGTGCAAAGGAGCTGGAGGGAGAAGAGGGAATCAGTCTGTTTAAATCAGAGCAGCCCATAATAAACCTGCAGGAGGAGACTACAGGGTTGAGGGAAAAGACACCCCCCCTTTCCTTCATAACATAAGGATGCATGTGGGAGGGCATAGGGAACCTTCTGCAGCGTTTCATTGTTGGACCCATGCGGACATTCTGTTATAGATTCCACACAATTGTTTGATTTCATATATTCTCCAGAGTTCATATAGGCAGGAACATTAGTGTAGCTCAGGTTGGGGCAGCAGTGGGCATGGCCAGGCTTTCTGGTTACCCCTTCCCATTAAGACTGGTATGGATTAGGTATTACTTTTAACTTCTCAGATGGCAGCCTGACACAAGAGCGCTGCTGGACATGAGCAAAGACCTCTCTTGCCAAGCCTTCTCTTCCCACGATGGCCAACCAAACCCTCAAACAGAAGAAGCAGTGCCCTTCCACTCCTTCCCCCAGGAATTGGTGTACGTAGGAATATTGCCTCCAATACTGAAGGTAGGATATCGCCATCAGGGCTAGTAGCCCCTGCTTGCTGCCTCTTCCATGAGTCTGCGAGAGCAAATCCCAGAGTTTATGCCTTGTGTGAAGACGTTCCTTCTATCTGCCCCGAGTGCCACTGAATGACCAGGGATCTGGAATTATGAAACCCTAACCCCCCATGCATAATTTTATGCACTTCCATTATGTCCCCCATTTCTATTTTTTATACATTGAACAGTCCCAGACATTGTAACCTTTCCTCAGAAGGGAGTTGCTCCAGCATTTTGTTTGCTCTTTTCTATACCTTTTTGAGTTCTTCAACATCCCTTTTCATGTGCTGGGATCAGAACTGCACTCATTGTTACAAGTCTGGTCATTTCAAATGTGTATAAAGGCATGATGATGTTGGCAGTTGTTTCCTTCCCTCGTGATCCTCAACATGGAATTTGCCTTGAAAAACGCAACTGTCAACTGCACACAGTTTCACGTTCATGCAGCTATTCAGTGCAACTCCAAGGTCTTTTTCCTGACCAGAATTTGCCACATCAGCATATACACAATGTTAGGCTGTTTATCCCTGGTGTACTTCACTTTGCACTTGCTTACACTGAAATGCATTGCCATTTCAATGCTCATTATTCCATTTGGCCAAATCCTTTGGGAGGGCTTCCTTGTCCCTTTTTGTTTTAATCCCTTTACATAATTCAGTGTTAGTGGCAAACTTGGCCACCTAACCTCTGCCTGCAGTTCATTATGAACAAGTTAAGGGACAAGAAAGTAACAAGTTACTGGTCCCAGTACTGAGCATTGGACCCCCCCCCCCCCCCCCTTTGCATCTTTCCCTTGCAAGAACTGTTTCAACTCTCTGCTTTCTGTTCTTTATCCACTTCCCAATCCAGAAGACGAACTCTGCTCTTTTTCCATGACTGCTAACTTTGCCCTCTTTTGTGAGAAAGTTTGTCAAAGGTCTTTTGGAAGCCAAACTAAACAGCATCCACCGGATCACTCCTCTCAACATGCTTGTCGTCCCTTTCAAAGTACTCTAAAAAGGTTAGTGAAATAGGACTTACTTTGCAGAAGCCATGTTGATTATTCTTCAACAAGATGTGTCCCAGACAGTCTGGGTAACAGTTTCTAGAATCCCTGACCATTGACCATGTTGGTCGGGCTTGACAAGAGATGGCATTCAAAATGCCTGCAAAGCACCAGGTTGGAGAAGGCCGCTGGTCTGGAGCAAGGCCCAAGAAAGCTCACCAGCCCCAAGCAAAGCAGGAATCACCTTGCATTCTGCGGTCCTTAGCAGACTACTTCTGTTTTCAGACAGTACACTATTTCCAGGGCTGGCAGGTTATCCCTCTCTTGTCAGGGTATGTTGGGAGAAAGGGAGGGCTTTGGATTAAGTGGATCCAAAGTTTCCTAGCCCAGAACGTGCCCTATTTGCCATTGATACCAATGGCAGAACAGCGAAGGCTTCCAGGCCCCCAGCAGGGAAGCGTTCCAGGGCGGACCTCCCTCTCTGCCAGCAGAGCAAGCGGCCTTGAGAGAGCTCTCCTCCATACCTTTGTCTAATCGCCATTTACAGCTATCCAGCCGGTGGCCATTCTGTCACCTTGTGGCAGCAATTTCCATAAAAAAATAAGCAGCTCCTTGAGTAAAGAAGTGCGGGATGATATAGGGGTTTAGCTCGCAGGACGATGGTTGAGGAGACCCACACGCACATCCACATTCAGTGATGGAGCAAACAAGGTGAGCCCTGGCCAACCACGATCTCCTCGTTTACTGCACTGGGTCTGGATTAGAAAGGCAGCAGGGGAAGAGGAAGAGCAATGTGCTCTGTCTTGGGCTCCTCCAGGGAAAGAGAGGTCTTCCCTGAATGTACTGCTAAGTACTTGCCTTGGATGACACTTGGTTCTCCTCTTCCAGGAGACAGGAAAACGTCCCACTACCCATTTGCCCTTGCACTCTCTCAAAATGCTAGAGCTTAGTCTCCATAGCGGAATACAAACTGCATCATCAACCACCCACCCCACACCCAAAGTCTATAGACATGTTTGTTTCATTCGTTAAACCTCTGATCCTGTGAACAATTTACAAATATTTTTGCGTGTGGTAAGGCTGCAGCTTCAATGGATGGTTGGCAATGTTGTTTTTAAAGAAGTTCTGAATGTTTTATCACCATTCGTGTGGTGGGTTTTCAAATGCGCCTAGACCGAAGTTCTGCACATAAAGATTCCTGGACTGGCTTCTGAAGCCAAGATCTTTGAAATGCAGCAGGCCAAAAACAGTTGAGATAAATGAGTTTATATTTTCAAAAGAGCTCTGTGACGAGGCAGAAGAAAACTCAGGCCCTCTTTCATCTGAGGTCTAAAGGTTTGGCTGTTCTGATCATTGATCCTGCCTATTTAAACAAAAAATGATAATGGCCAGCGTGGCGGCAGCAGTGGTACTGGGACATTCTTTGGTTCCACTATTAATAAACCTGTATCTCCAGCTGCACCTTTTGGTTCCCAGTTCTCTTGGATTTTGTGCTTTCATATGAGATGTGATAAGCACAGTGGGAGCTCAGGACATTAGCACATCATAAAGTAGCTGTACTTTGATTGCTTGAGCTGACAACAGCATGCGCTTCCAGGATAAGGGAGGAGAGCGTGCAGCCAACATGGACAAACAGGACACCATGGAATAACTAGCTACTATGATAGATGGAGTGGCTGCAAGTCATTCTTCGCACGTTGGTTTTTAAGGTATCCACCTAAGGTGTATTAAGTATGGATGGCTAAAAATGTAAAGTGGGATTGCAGTGCACACAAACGTGTATATCACAGAGGCACACTCAGCAGAGATTCGGGGTTGGCTAAGGTTCCCTGCAAGGGTCCATCAGGCCTGACTTGCATAACAGAAACATGGCCCTCATGTAACTTGCAGACTTGGTTCCCAACCTGGTTCCCTCTAGAGGTTTTGGACTGCAACTTCCACAGCAGTCCCAGCCACAAAAATCAATGGCTGGGGATAAAAGGGGGTACAGATCCAAAACATCTCAAGGGCACCAGGTTGAGGAAGGCTGCAGTGAACATGGACTGTCCCAAAATAACTCCGACCTCCTCTTTGCCAGGTAGCAAGAGAGTGAGAGATAGAAACCACCTGTCTTGCTTCGCATGCCCTGGTGCTTGTGCTACCTTCTTCCTCACTTTGGAGTAGCCAATGGTAGGCAGAGAGGGGAAGCAGGGACTCTGCAGTTAGCCTCCTTCTGGCAGGTCCATGACAACGTGTTGTCTGGACAAGAACAGTTCACTACGTGCATTGCTGAAACTTTGGAGCCTTTCTACAGAAAGCCAGAATGCACCAGGCCTAACGCTCCTATCAGTTTATTAGGGCTGTGCACCAACCACAAGATTCAGTCTGGGGCTTCAGAAAGCAGCCTTAATTTCTTCGGCTCTGGGAGAGAGAACGGGCCAAAAGCACTGAATTGTTCTTGCAATATGTTACTTCAACTTTCCTCCTGCACTGTTCTCCTTATGTGGAAAAATGTATGGGGATGGGGGAAATGTGTCATGTTTTGGAGACATGTAGTCAATGTCTCCGTGTCCTTTCAAATCTCCAGTCTTCATTTGTTCAGATCTGAATTCAGGCTTTGAACATTCAGATTTGGATTTGAAGACACTCTGCTTCAATAGAGACATTTCCTAGATTTGTCCGAATAATCCTGATTCAGACTCAGGATTCATCTGGATGTAGAACAGACCCAACCATTTCCCAAGTAAACCTCTCCATGCTCAGCAAGTGGGGGAAGAAAGGGACCCAGAACACGCACACTGGATTTCACATAAATATTTTAATAGTATTTCAGATACAGGAACATATTGTAACAGTTATCCTACCATATGCAGATACTTCCAAGTGCCAGGTAAGAAAGGACTGACTGCATTAGAAGGATTCTGCCATACAAGCCTAGAAAATGCCAGCACCAGTCTCTCAGTCAAGTGCTCAGCCCAACGTGATCGGAGAGGTTCCAACAAAGAACGGAGCTTGCCAAGTTAAAGGGTACAAGTAATGACCCATCTTCCTATGACCAGTCATCCCAACAAAGTATGGCACCCTCCAGGTGTGCTGACTACCAATCCCATCATTCCCAGCCACCTCGTTTGGTGTGGTGACTGGGGGTGAAAGGGATCATAGTCTGATGCATATGGAAGGAGGGAGGGTGCCAAGCTGGATCTCTTCTAGCAACGGCCCAGGACTAAAGTGCACATTTGTACCAAGAATGCAGTACGTTAAATCACTCCGCCTCAATGCTTTCCAGTGCCTGAGAATTGCAAGGAGGCACTTCTTGGAGGAAATTGTTGCCTTTAGGAAACACATTCCATTTGCCAGTCACTTTTTGTTTTTAATTTTTTGCTTCAGTGATGGGATTGCTTAAAGGATGAATGCAGTCTCTGAGAAAAAGAGAGAAGAGGGGAAAGGAATCCAGCGCTGTTGAGCAACAGCAGCCCTTCAAAACACAGAGCATCTGGAAAATCAGCACAGTTGTGGCCTGCCGGGGAACTCTCCAACAGTCCAGTGGCAGAGGCCAGCAGTGGCGAAATGGTCGCCCTCCAAAAGATCTGATGTGAACAGACTTGCCAGGTCTGCTGTGAGCATGCCGAATGGCTGCCAACAGAGCAAAGCTATTTCAACGCAGCCTAGAATCAGGACCACTGTTTCTTAGAAACATCACCCAATCACCAGCAGCCTCTATAGCAGGGGTGAGGAAGCTGCATGACCCTCTAGGTCTTTTTGGACTTCAGCTCCCATCAGCCCCAGTCAGGAAAGTCCACCATCAGGATTGATGGGAGTTGTAGTCCAAGGGCATCTGAAGCGGCCCGTACGCCATTCCTGCCCTACACCAGCAATACCAGCAGCCTTGTTGATTTGAGCTGGAAGAAAAGTTGAGTTGCCATCAACTCTGAACTGTGGATGCAGCTACACCTTTGGAATTATTTGAGGGGGCGTTAATTAGTCCCAAAGGCGGAAACTGTGGAGCCAATGCTTGTGTCAATGCATTCCTGTGGGAGGAAGGTATGTAAGTGTGGGAGGGGGTTAAACGGGCTGAGAAGTTCCAATCCATGGAATCACACACCGTATATTCACATAGCCAGTAACATGTGAAATCCACTTCTACACAACAGTTTTAGGGAACTAGACAAGACCCCATTTTTGACTAACAGACTGCATGCATTTAAAAAAAGGATGATTGTATAGCGATAGCACAGATACACAGATGCATGCACGGCATACATCACATCACGAACTCATCTGCATAATATCAGAGATTCAGTCTCAGGTGGCGCCCAGCCTTCCCCTTATGCAAAGCTACTACTGTATGTGAAACAAACCTTTTATCCGGGGGGAGAGAGATGTGGACACACAGTCAGTGCATCTTGGCATGAAAGCCCAGCTTTGCTCAGGCTGAACCTGCCTCTGTCCTGATGGACAGGCCTTGGGCTCTGAACCTGCACTGAGGCGTGCACATGCCGATAAACATCGACACTTACCGTGGCTCATCGTGATTCAGACAGCTTCTCATTCTAATTTTTGAAGCCCAAACCTGTCATGCCCCTCAGCACCAATTCTTTACTGCATGTCGTCAGTGCTTTCTTCTGACAGCTGCCCGAACAGCATGCCTTCTCTGCCTCCTCTATCCAGCTCTGCTTATATACCAGCTTTCCCCAACCTGGTTCCATCTGGATGTGTTGGACTACGGGTCCCATACTTCCCCAGCCTCCTGGTCCCTATGCAAGCAGGTTGGCAATGGGGTGGCAGGCTCCAAAGCACCAGGTGTTGTGCGGGGTATTTGAGGGAGAAAGGAGGTTTAACATTTCCTACGCTTTCAATGAAGGTGCAGGAAATAGGCATGGGCATTTTGATGGAGGACAAGGCAGAAGAGATACAACTTTGATTTTCACAGTGATCATGGTTAACAAGAGAGATTTCTACCACCGTATCTGTGGTTCCGCATTTCCTTTTGCACACCATGATGAACTAATAGGGTGACACCAAGCACCAACAGCCAAGGAGGCTAAAACCAGTTCTCAATATTTCCCATCAAAAATCATTTTCCTGTGTGAATTTTAGTGTGTCATACTGTTATGTGTGTGTGTGGGGGGGGAGGGTTAATGGCTTTCTTGTAGCTATATTGTGTAATGAAGATTTTATTTTCCTTCTTGAACAGCAAAATGGAAAAACAATACAGAAATCTAATAAATACATATATAATAATAAATAGCCAAGGAGGGGGATTAGATGTAGGCAAAGTGACAATCACCCTAGGAATCATGAACAAATGCAGAAGCTGACTGTCACTGCATATCCCTGAGTATGTAAGCCATCACTAGGAAAGAGAAAAATGGACAAGCTTATGCTTTTTATAAATGGGAAGCAAAAACAGAATATTTCTGAAATCTGTCAGTTAAGCTATAAGAAAAGCATAGAAAACATATGGAAAACCATTGCTCAGGAGCTCCCCTCCATCTGCATTACTGTTGTTTTATGTTATATGAATTTGAACTGGGCTCATGCGCAAAAGAACTGGACCAAAACAACCCCAAGTTTGGTCACATCCATTCCTTGGGTGCTGTATTTTAATGAAAAAGCAGAACCTAAATCATCTAAACAAACAAACAGCCCCCAGAGTGGGACAGAAAACTAAAGTGCACAATTTCAATTTATGGGACATAGCCTATTTTGAATAACTTATTTAAATAAATTTGGTTTTATGTTGTCACAAAAGAATCGGAATTTCTTTAGCATGGAGCATGAGATCATCCCCAACACCAAGGTCAAAAAGAGTACTTGAAGCGTAACATTAGACTGTATATCTTCCTTTGCTTGTAACACTCTTGCTTATTTTGGGAGGTCAAGAAAAAAAAAACAGAAACAAAAACCTTGAACGCAGATCCTGGAGAGCAGACAAATTAGATCAGACTTTAAATCCACGCTGTATGGAGAAGAACCAGCTTCTGACTGGTAACATACAGAACAGCACACATGTCTACACAATGTTCTTCAAAAGGGGACTGCTTTTCAGCCAAGGTACATGGTCTTTGGCTGAAGCAAGATGAGCTAAATTGTCTCAGGATCTATGAGTTAATATTGCTGCTCTTACTCAGAAGACTTTTATACCCCCAGTAATATCAATAAGTGCTCAGAAGGGGGTGCATTTTGGACACATGAAATGTGTTTGGACACTTCCACCCCAGTGCTAGAAGTCATGTGGTTCACACCACCTGCAGCACCATCTCCCAAACGTGTCCTTTCTCTAATGCTAGCTGGCAGAAAATCTACCATTGAAGAAATCTAATGGAAATCCACAAGGGAACCTCTGACCCTTGGGATCCCACTTGAAGAAAGTTGCTAGCGCACAGACATGAGTTGGGACAACCAGCTGCACAGACAGGTGTCCTGGGACAATCATATGCTATGACAACATGGTAGACACAGCTGCCCAGACTCCCAGCTCCAGGAAATGACTACCGCAGCATTGACAATGGTTGTCATTTTTTCAGTCTATTGCATGGGGTGGCTTGGGTTAACCTGCAAGACTTTGAAGTTAGGATACTCTGACGACAACAAACCAATGGAGGAAGGCCTTGGAAATGGATGTTCTGGTTCCCACCACTAACCTTCCCTGATTAACCTATCTACAAGAAGCCTCGGATCTTTCAACACACGCAGCTTGTTATCAGTATTACCAATCCAACTTGGAGTGTAGTCTTGTGGGGTTTTTGACCGACAACCAAAGCACCAGCAGTCTTCACACTCCTGGCATACGTTGCTTCCCACCATCATCTCCCCTGCTGAAGTCAATGGACACCATCCATGGTATGTTGCTGATCAGCTGCCGTCATCTCCCGTGTGCCCAGTACAGGAAGCACAGTTCATGCATTGATGGCATTTGCCACATCTGTGAACACAAGGCGACTGGGTCTCTGGAGCACCCCTTGGTTTGTCTACAACAAAAACGGGAAAAAGTGTGAGAGGAGGAAATGCAAGAAATGTATGTGCGCTCGACCTTCATAGGCTTGCTGGTCCTAAACAGTTGAATTAGCTGGGGAAAAGCTGGGAATGACAGTATATTGAGCCAAGTTCTGACAGGTGCGTGTGGTCCTGAAGTCCATGTGCAACAACTCTCTTATCCTCTGATGATCTAGGATACAGGAATTAGTCGCTCATATGAATGTTGTTAGGGGAGAACAAACAGAGTGTGTGGAATGGAGAAGATGATGCATCCAGAATCAGAAGCAGGGGGTTGCTGGTACAGATGTATGTGGATCTAGACCTCTAGGACAGAGGATAGGAATGAATGGGGGCAAGACTTACACCTGGAGAGAGTCCAAGAAAAACCCTTCAAGAACAGGCCCCAAGGACTGGCATTGCTAGTGCCAGCTTTCTCTCAGCAAGCAGCCCTCCTCTCATCCTCACGAGCTTCACACCCCTCTGCTTCAATCAGAGACAGCAGAAGGGTTCCCAGCCCCACTAGGACTAAACTGAGGACAAAGACACAGCCATGTCCAGTCACAACAGCTTCCCGGGAGGAAGCGAGACATGGCACCCTGGCTACAGGGCTCTCCAAGCCTGCAGTCTACACTGAATGATGGACAGAGCAGTACTCCAAACTTGCTGCTTTACGTCCAGCCTCTTCTACAGCAGGGCACTGAAGCACAAGCCCTGTGGCCAGACTGAGCCCATGCAGGGTCCGGGTCTGACACTCCAAGGCCCCTCGGAGAGCCACAGCTGCTTCTGTGCCACGATCCCACAACCCGAAAGGCTGGGATCCTTCTCCTAGGGCTGAGCTACTGGCAGTTTTAAGCTTTTTATCACCTACAGGAAATGGTTGCAGGAGAGCCAGGCTGATGTGTCAACAGTTTGCCGATGATACTCAGCCCTACCTCTCATTTCCATCTACACATCCTGCGGAAGCTGTCAGCTCTTGAACCAAGACCTGCTGGATGTTTGGGGGTGGATGAGGGTCAACAAGCTGACGCTTAATCCAGATGAGAAAGAGGTACTTTGGGTAAGGAAGCCAATAACTTAGGATGGAGGCCTACAACTTTGAATATCTCCCACACTGGAGACATTCCAAAAGAACCTGGACTGCCATCTAAGTGGGATGGTGTAGCGTAGTGTCCTGCCACAGCAGGGGGCTGCACTCCATGGCCTTCATGGCCCCTTCCAACTCTACTATGATTCTAACTAGCTTTAGATGGGGTTGCACTGTCCTTGAAAGACCAAGAGTCCTCCTGAACTCTGGGCTAGCTGGGGAAGTCCAGATTGGCTGCTGTGCGTAGCAGCTCATGCTCCCATCTTAGGCTGATATGCCAGCTTCAGCCTTATCTGGAGAGGAGGAAGCTTGCCCCAGTTATCCCTGCATTAGCGAGGCCCAGGCTGGACCACTGGGATGCGCTGTATATGGTGCTGCCTTTGAAGACAGTCCAGAAGAATGAGCTGGTGCAGAACTGAGCATTGGTGGGTACAAGGCGATTCCATCAGATCATTCTTTTCACTGGGCTAGCTGCACTGGTTACTGGTGTGTTTCTGAGCCCAATTTAAAGTGCTGGTTTGGGCCTTTAATGCCTTAAATGGTTTGGAACCAAACTACTTAAAGGACTGCCTATACCCCTATCTCCCTGCTTGCCCTTTTAGGTCAGTCAGAGAAGCCCACCTTATTTGCCCACCTTTGATGGCAATTAGGCGGGCAATAAGGGAGAAGGCCTTTTCTATAGTGGCCCCACAGTTCTGAAATAAGTTGCCATTATACAGGACCTCTCTTGGCAGGATTTCAGGAAGGCTCTGATAACTGGTTTAATCTGGCCTTCCACGATTATGCTTGATTAGACTGGGTTGAAGCTACAATTTTGTGTTGCAGGCTTTATCTTCTGCTGGTATCTCTTGTTTACTGGAAAGTTTGCCATTTTTATTACTATATTGGTTACTACAGTTGTACCTAGGCTCACAAACTTAATCTGTTCCAGGACTCTGGTCGTGACCCAAATTGGTCATGAGCCAAGTCAAATTTCCCCATAAGGGTCAATGTAAATAAGGTTACACTGGAGAAGGAAATGGCAACCCACTCCAGTATCTTTGCCATGAAAACCACATGGACAGTACCAAAAGGCAAAAAGATATGACGCCGGAAGATGAGCCCCTCAGGTCGGAAGGTGTCCAATATGCTACTGGGGAAGAGCAGAGGGCTAGTACTAGTAGCGCCAGAAAGAATGAAGCGACTGGGTCAAAGCCGAAAGGACACTCAGTTGCTGATGTATCTGGTGGTGAAAGGAGAGTCCGATGCTGCAAAGATCTATACTCCCTAGGAACCTGGAATGTAAGATCCATGAATCAAGGCAAGCTGGATGTGGTCAAACGAGATGACAAGACTGGACATCGACATCTTATGTTTCGACATCGACATCTTAGGCTTATGTTGTAAGCTGCCCCGAGGCTTCGGCGAATGGGGCGGCATAAAAATGTTTTAATAAATAAATAAATAAATAAATCTTAGGAATCAGTGAACTAAAATGGACAGGAATGGGTGAATTTAATTCAGATGACCATCAGGTATACTACTGCGGGCAAGAATCCCTCAGAAGAAATGGAGGAGCCTTCATAGTCAACAAAAGAGTAGGAAAAGCAGTACTGGGATACAATCTCCAAAATGACAGAATGATCTCAGTTCGAATCCAAGGCAAACCATTCCACATCACAATCACAGTAGTCCAAGTCTGTGCCCCAACCACTGGTGCTGAAGAGGCTGAAGTTGACCGGTTCTATGAAGGCCTACAACACCTTCTAAAATTAACTCCAAAAAATGATGTCCTTATCATCATGGGGGATTGGAATGCCTTGGAGTACAAAATGAAGCAGGGCACAGGCTGGTAGAATTTTGTCAAGAGAATACAATGGTCATTGCAAACACTCTTTTCCAACAACCCAAGAGACAACTCTACACATGGACATCACCAGACAGTCAACACAGAAATCAGATTGACTATGTGCTCTGCAGCCAAAGATGGAGAAGCTCTATACAGTCAGTAAAAACTAGACCAGGAGCTGACTGTGGCTCAGATCATGAGCTTCTGGTTGCAAAATTTAGGCTTAAGTTGAACAAAGTAGGGAAAAGTACTAGGCCACTCAGGTATGACCTAAATCATATCCCTGTTGAATATACAGAAGAGGTGATAAATAGATTTAAGGAATTAGATCTGATAGACAGAGTGCCTGAAGAACTATGGACGGAGGTTCGCAACATTGTACAAGAGGCAGCAACTAAAACCATCCCAAAGAAAAAGAAATGCAAGAAAGCAAAAGGGCTGTCTGAGGAAGCTTTACAAATAGCTGAGGAAAGAAGGGAAGCAAAAGGCAAGGGAGAAAGGGAAAGATACACCCAACTGAAGGCAGAATTCCAGAGAATATCTAGAAGAGATAAGAATGCCTTCTTAAATGAACAGTGCAAAGAAATAGAAGAAAACAATAGAATAGGGAGGACCAGAGATCTTTTCAAGAAAATTGGAGATATGAAGGGAACATTTCATGCAAAGATGGGCATGATAAAGGACCAAAATGGCAGGGACCTAACACAGGCAGAAGCGATTAAGAAGAGGTGGCAAGATTACACAGAAGAACTATACACAAAAGAGCTTAACATCCCTGATAACCACAATGGGGTGGTCACTGACCTCGAGCCAAACATCCTGGAATGTGAAGTCAAATGGGCCTTAAGAAGTCTGAGCAACAACAAAGCTAGTGGAGGCGACAGTATTCCAGTTGAGCTATTCAAAATCCTAAAAGACACTGAAGTTAAAGTGCTACACTCAATATGCCAGCAAATTTGGAAAACTCAACAGGGGCCACAGGATTGGAAAAGGTCAGTTTACATTCCAATCCCAAAGAAGGGCAATGCCAAAGAATGTTCAAACTACCGCACTGTTGCACTCATTTCACATGCTAGCAAAGTGATGCTCAAAGTCCTACAAGCTAGGCTCCAGCAGTATGTGGACCGAGAACCACCAGAAGTACAGGCAGGATTTCAAAGAGGGAGAGGAACTAGAGATCAAATTGCCAACATACGCTGGATCATGGAGAAAGCTAGGAAGTTCCAGAAAAACATCTACTTCTGCTTCATTGACTATGCTAAAGCCTTTGATTGTGTGGATCACAACCAATTGTGGCAAGTTCTTAAAGAGATGGGAGTACCAGACCATCTTATTTGTCTCTTGAGAAACCTATATGCTGGTCAAGAAGCAACAGTGAGAACTAGACAGGGAACCACTGATCAGTTCAAAATTGAGAAAGGAGTTAGGCAAGGCTGTATACTGTCACCCTGCCTATTTAACTTATATGCAGAGCAAGTCATGAGAAAGGCAGGACTAGATGAATCACCAGTTGGAATTAAGATTGCTGGGAGAAATATCAACAACCTCAGATATGCAGATGATACCACTCTCATGGCAGAAAGTGAAGAGGAACTAAAGAGCCTCTTGATGCGGGTGAAGGAGGAGAGCGCAAAAGTTGGCTTGAAACTCAACATTAAGAAAACTAAGATCATGGCATCCGGGCCTCTCACTTCCTGGCAAATAGATGGGGAAGAAATGGAGGTAGTGACAGATTTTATTTTCCTGGGCTCCAAGATCACCACAGATGGGGACTGCAGCCAAGGAATTAAAAGACGCTTGCTCCTGGGGAGGAAAGCTATGGAAAATCTAGACAGCATACTACAAAGCAGAGACATCACCCTGCCAACAAAAGTGCGTATAGTCAAGGCTATGGTTTTCCCAGTTGCAATGCATGGCTGTGAAAGCTGGACCATAAGGAAGGCTGAGCGCAAAAGGATTGAGGCCTTTGAACTGTGGTGCTGGAGGAGACTCCTGTGAGTCCCTTGGACTGCAAGGCGATCAAACCGGTCAGTCCTAGAGGAGATCAACCCTGACTGCTCTTTAGAAGGCCAGATAGTGAAGATGAAACTCAAATACTTTGGCCACCTAATGAGAAGGAAGGACTCCCTGGAGAAGAGTCTAATGGTGGGAACAATAGATGGCAAAAGAAGAAGGGGACGGCAGAGGATGAGGTGGCCAGATGGAGCCACTGAAGCAGTTGGTGTGAGCTTGGGTGGACTCCGGGAGATGGTGAAGAACAGAAAGGCCTGGAGGAATGTTGTCAATGGGGTCGCGATGGGTCGGACACGACTTCGCGACTAACAACAACAACAAATAAGGTTAATCTGTTCTGTAACTATTTTTTTAATCAGAAAAAAATATTTATATATTTTTGGATTTATATCCTGCCTTTTTCCTACAAAGGGCTCAAGGCAGCTTACATAATTCTCCTCCTCCATCTTATCCCCACAACAACAACCCTGTGGGGTAGGTTGGGCTGAGAGTCTGTGACTGGCCCAAAGTCCCCCAGTTGGCTCCATGGCCGAGCAGGGACCAGAACCCAGATCACCTGAGTCCCAGTCCCAGCTCTTAACCACTACACCACACTGGCTCTCTGTGAAAAATGTGAAGCAAAGTGACAAACAACAACAAAGATCGTGGCCATCTCCCCCCACCCCGAGCACAAGCGCAGCCCTCTCCCCACCCCCCAGCACAACTGCAATAGCGCTCGTCATCCTGGCGCGCTCGGGGGGGGGGGGACAGGTGTGATCATGCTGGGGGGCGGAGGTGGTCAAGATCGCGGTTGCGCTCCTGCAGGAAAGCTGGGCGCAATCACGGGCACGCTCCTGCAGGAAAGACAGGCGCGATCTTGGCCATCTTCCCCAGCCCCCAGCATGATTGCCAGGGGGTGGGGAGTTGGCCACGATCACAGTCGCTACCCAATGTGACCTGAGTCAAATTTTTTATGAAATTTTTGTTTGCAACCTGATTTGGTCGTGAACTGAGGCGTTCGTGAGCCGAGGTCCCACTGTATTATGTGGATTATACTGCTGCACGCTGCCTTGGGAGGGCTCCTGCCCCAAAAGACTGCCAGTTAAAAAACAAACTCACTCAAATCAATTTGCTACAATGTGTTGGTATTTCTGGTCTTTTGCCCGCTCCTTTTTTGCCTGTGGCCTCACCCACTGCTGAAAAGAGGCCCCCAAGAGCTTCTCCAAAACTGAATGTGGCCCTTGGGCTGACAGAGGTCAACACACCTGCTCTGCAGGTAGCTGGCCCAGCATCCAATTTCCTGCTTTCACCTGCCCTCCTGTCAAATTCTGCCAGTAGCCCTGCAAGGTTTTGGCCTGAAACAGGATAGCTACCCTTGGAGGTGAGCCAAGTATCCGTAGCTCTTCCCAGGCTGCCCACCTTTCTATGCCCACATGCTGCCTGCAAGAAAGCAAAGGGAATGCAGTGCTACACTTCTTCCTCGGCTTTTCTTCCAACCCCCAACATCAGACTAAACTTCCTGAAGACTGATATTTCTACCAGAACTGATTTCATAGGGCTAATCCAGTTGCTCTTAAGATACTTACCTATCAATATAAAAATGAACAGGCTCTTTGCTGGTGTGAGTCTATCCTGTCGCCCAGAAAGCAACCATGATTTCTCTACAGGTCTGCTATAGGATGGGTTCTAGCACAAGAGAAGGGTCTACTCTACAGTCCACAACTCCCATGTAGTAACATACCGGTTCTTCCTGTCCCTGCTGGCTTGGCTTTTGGAGAAAAGTGACAGAGAAATCAAAGAATATTGTGAAATCAAATTTTCTCTCACCTCTTTCCATCAGATTTTTGTGGTGCTTTAGTTTGGTCTGAGAACTTGTATTTGATGCACAACCCTGGTTTGAAACACTAATAATGGAAAATCAGCTGCTTGAATATAGACAGAGTGTCTCTTTCTCAGCACCTTAAAAAACAATATTTTTCCAAACTTTCCATCATATATAATCCTGACTTCAAAATATGAATGTTAGCTTGTGGTAATATTGTATAAAAAGTCCACACACTTCAGCAGTGTGACATGAAGGAAGGGTCTCTAGCTCAGTGGTAAGGGTAGGAAGAGAGAACCTGCTGTCCTTTGGCTGTTGCCAGACTCCAGCTCCCATTAGGTCCAGCCACCATGGTCACTGGCCAGGGCTGATGGGAGCTGGACAGCCCCTTGCAAGCTGCAGGTTCTTCACCCCTGCTTCGCAAGGACCAAATACTAGGGTCAGTCCCAAAGAATTCTACTTAAAGTAACCTCTCCCAATCCAGCACATCCCAAATGCCAGGTTGAAGAATCCTTGGCAGGGGAAATGGGGTTTGTGATCCAACACATCTGGAAGGTGCTGAGCTATAAGGGCTTCTATCTGAAGAGCCTCTGCTCTTCAGAGTAGATATTACTGGATGATACAGACCAGTGTTCGGACCCAGTATATAGCCACTCTGTATGTGCAAGCCCAGAAGCATTCTAGGGACAAAACCAGAAAAGTTCTATCATGCTGGTTCACAACCTGTGGTCCGCAGACCCTTGGGGAGGGGGGCGAGGTCATCACAGGGGGTCCATGAAGGCTTGAAGAAATGTTATGGTTTTTTTACAGTTAAATCTGAACGAATGAGTGAATGGATGAAAGCAAGAGGGAATGGAAAATGGAACGTGTTAATTTTCCATTCTTGTTTTGCAAAACTTGGCTTTTTAAACCTATTGCCTCAATTAAAAACAATCGGGTATGAATCAGCTATAAGGGTAGCTGTCTGATGGCAAACAGCTGCTTTGGTATTTCTGCACACACTGAGAACATGCAAGTGAATGTAGTTTAAAGTGGGACCCACTTTAATGAGGCAGGTTTTCTCTTAAAGACATTTTCTTAACTCAATGGCCCTCTTTAGGGCCACAACAGGGCTGAAGTCTGTTCCAAGTGGTGACCCTGGACCCATAAACAAAAATATACGGTGACTGAACACAGACAAAGGAGAAGGTGAGAAGAATTATAAAAACTTTTCATCAAATTTGAATGTAAAACTTTACATCAAATTTGGAATTAGCATGTCAAATACCATAAAATGGACCATTTCAGCAAAAAAGAATGTTGATACTATTATTTGAAATTCGTATGGAAGCATTTCAATAAAGATATTATAAAAGGAGTGTATACATTAACAGATTAACTTATTTCCCCTTCTCTCCAAATTTGAAGGCCCTTCATGAGAAAATTGGAATAAATATTTGATGCAATCTAGTGCTTTAAATCTTGAGTTAAGTCTTGGTGGTCTGTGACCACAAAAGGTATTTAAAGGGGGTCCGTGGTGAAGGAAAGGTCGAGAACCACTGTGAATAAAATCAGAAACTTGCAGGACAAGTGCCTCGTGGTCTGCAGCTATGACCATCACCCTCCCCTGCTGTCTCTCCAGGTTCTTTTATTCCTAAAAAAAGTAAGGTAAAGGTTTTCGAAGTCCAGTCATGCCTGACTCTAGGGGGCGGTGCTCATTTCCGCTTCCTAGCTGAGGGAGCCAGCGTTTGTTTGCAGACAGTCTCCGTGGTCGGGTGGCCAGCATGACTAAACACCAAAGCGCACGGAACGCTGTTACCTGCCCACCGAAGTGGTACCTTTTTATCTACTTGCATGTGCATGCTTTTGAACTGCAAGGTTGGCAGGAACTGGGACGGAGCAACGGGAACTCACCCCATTGTGCAGATTCAAACCGGGGACCTTTCAATCAACCAGCTCAGCAGCACAGTGGTTTAAACCACTGCGCCACCTGCAGTCCCTCTTCTATTCCTACTTGACATTTAAATTTTGAATTCTTCCACTCCAACCTTCAGTGTGCTTATGTGCATTTAGGGCCCACCCAATACAATCTGGAAGTATTGGCCTACAATCTGGAGGCCACAATCCTGTGCAGAGTGATTGAAAACCAGTCCCATTCAGCTCAGTGACAGGGCATTACCTTGTTCTGAGATGCCTGCAAAGAAGCAGCATCTCGGCCATGCTCCAAGAGCTCCTGTTCCAGTTCATCCTGTTCTTCAGCAGGATCAAAGTTGTACATGGGCATGAGCTGGTGCCGCAGCTTCTCTAGTCTACCAGGGAAAATGGAAAACGAGAGGTCCACCACTGTAAAACTTCAGACCAAACTGCAACATCGACTCTCCAAGATTTGCCCTGCAAACAGTGAGAACATCTTTCCCCAGCCTGCTGACAGCTGGAATCCAACAGATTGGGGAAAGCTAATTTAGCATTGACACCCTCTGGCCAGAGACCATATTGCTTCTGCAATCTGCAACTGGCATTTAAAGTTGCAGAAGAATCCTTGAGACTTCGTTCAGTCCCTGCTGATTAAGCACGGAGGTCAGTATGGGAGACCCCCACCCCACCCAATATAAAAACCAGCCCAAGAGAAAGGAGCACTCACCGTTTCCGCTTCCTGATGTACAAAACCTAGTGCGAGAAAAGACAAAAATTGTTGTTGTAAGCTGACTTTCAGCAAAACTCCTGCTGGTCTAGACCACCGAAATATATACTCTGAAAAAGCTAGCAGTTGCTCACACTTTATACCAGTTTCCTGGGAAAGGCAGGAGAGTCTGGGAAAACATGTGAATTAATGGACAATGCTCTTCAGCACTGGGAAAAACAGATGAGGCATCCCATTTGTCTTTGCCTCACGTGCATCTGTACCAAGATGTCCGGGGCAGCACACTTGTGTTCCCATTGCTGAGGCACACAAGCGGGAGGCTGCGACAGCACACATGTCCCACTTGCAGGTTCCCTACAGGCAGCTGGCTGGCCATTGTGTGAATAAGCACTGGACTAGAATGCCCTTGGTCCAATCCAGAAGGGCTCTTCATAGGTTCTCAAGAGTTAAGCACTTCCCTTGTAACCTGCGAGTTTTTCCTATGGCATACTCACAATGGATACTGCACCTAATAGATTGTCTGAGCATACACTCATGTGATGTAGGGGCATGCACAAAATCCTTACTCGTTCCAAAATAAAAAACACAAAAAACATCAAATGAATAAATAAATGAAAGCAGACAAAACTCCCCTGAAACAAATAGGAAAGCAGGTGCAGGTATGCATACTTCAAGCTCCTAAGTCTGTAAGAAATTGCAGGCCGTGGGCACCTGAACATAAGTTGTTCGCTGTATCACTTCCTAATGTATAATAATTGATACGGCTGTAATTGAGTCAATCTTAGGGCCACAGCAGGTTGACAAAGGTGCAGGCAGTCCTTCAAGCAACCCAGTCCCAAAGGATATTGGCTAGATCTACACTGCCAACTTAGACGGGTCTAATAGGTATTCACTCCCCCTATGGGATGGCAATTCTGTGATGAGAGAGGGGCTGTGGATCTCCAGTGGTACCATTTTTTGCATGCTGACTAATTTCCAAGATTCTTTGGAAGAAGCCAAGAAAAGTAAACTACAGTATTGTATGCTAGAGATATATCCAAGGGCTGACCCAACTTTAATACTAAAAGTAGGGCACAAAAATGCTTGAAGTGGAGCTCCAGTTCACATCCTCCCCATCACAGCCTCACCAAACAACGAAGTCTTACCATAGCAACAGCTAGCCCAATCACAGTGATGATGCCAAAGGACAGTAACATGGTCCCCATGCCAGGACTGTTGCTGGCAACATCTGGGATTTTGGTGCCATTAAAGCTGCTGGTCTCAGGAGTCATCGTAGCAGTTTCTGACCCAGTCCCATTGACAGATGTCGCCCGGTTGGGCTCAGAGGTGGCTGTGCCACTGCGATACAAAGTGTTGACAGTGGATGTGCTGTAATTCATTTTGGGCCAGATTCTATTGTCCTCTTCTGCCTGAAGGGTGTCTTGAACTGCAAAGTTATTAACTACAAAGTCATCAGCTCTTCTCTTCCGTCAAGAAGCTCAATGAGAACACTGTTTTCTTGCATTTTCTTTAGTGGCTCCAGTGAAAAGATGTCCTGTTGGCTAAACCCTAGTGGGAAGGGAAAAAAAAAGACTCTGACACTGGCCTCCCCCAAGTTATCATTAGAGCAACCCTATAGAATAGGTTGGTCCCCTTATGCCAACACTGCAGATGGAGACCTGTGGGGTGGGCTGGTTGCCTACAGCCAGTGGGATGAATGCAGGGCTTGAATGCAGATTTGAACCAAGGTTGTACTTCTGCTACCCAAGCCTTAAGGATGACAGCAGATACTATAAAGATATACAGATGTGAGAAGTGCACTCATAAGGAAAGCGGATCTGCTGGTGTACCCTGAGACCAACCAGGCAGCCAACTGACCTAAAGCAGCCTCACATGAGCAAGCCTTATAGAAATATCACGTGCGTAAGCTTTGGGTCTAGACGAGTACGATACCCTTTAAAAAGGGAACTGCAACTTGATTTATTTGCACACGTGAAAATGCCGTGGTCGGATGCTGTGGGGCTGTTCTATTCTATTTATTTACGGTAAGCCGTCCCAAGACGTTCTGTAGGGGACGGGATAGAAAAGCTTTTAATAAATAAAAAATAAATAAAATTATCTTATGTTTTTGCTGTAAATATTGGTTCCTGTTTTTGTATAGACATTAATAATTTCATCCTTCTTACTGTCAATATATATGCTATGCATACTAAATATTTGTGCTAAATGTATTTTCTCTTTTTAAAAAAAGTTGCTGTAAAAGCTGTCGTGAGCTACAGAGGATCTCAGAGTACTTAACAGTGCAATCCTATGCATGTTTACTCAGAAAAGGAAGCAAACCTATCTCAGTTCAATCATACTTGGTTCCAGGTAAATGTGTAAACAATTGTGCCTAAATCAGTTTTCTATTTAGCAGCTTGCCTGGCACCCATTGACAACCAGGACTTTCACGCAGGCAAGTGTACAGGCTGGTGGGGGAAGGATGGATGGATCTATCCATCTCTTATCCACCAGTTTATTTAGTTTCCAGGCTAGGTGCAGAGAAAGGCAAGCCTATTCCATCACACTATACACAGAAGCCAAGAAAAGCAGTAGCAAAATAAAATATATCATGCTGTCTTCCTTCCGTCAGTCTACTGAACAGAAGGCAAGGTTTGTTTGTTTTCTATTTCTGGCCTTCTAAGAGGCTAGCAGGCTGCCTTTCCCTAGTGGCTTTTATAGCATGCAAATACAGGCTACTGGCCACATAGCACCATGCTTTTGCAGGTTAGTAACTTTTGCAGGTTAGTCACTTCTGCCACCTTAAGAAGCTAGCCGGAACCTTCAGTCAGGTGAGGAGGAAGATGTATGTGACTGTATTGCTCTCCCAGTTTAAAGGTGGAATGGGAGAGCAATTCTCCCATCGCTGGCCCATTCTATAGCCATGGCTGGGTGGAAAGTAGGTCTCCAAAACCTTTGGACTTCAACTCCCAGTAGTCCTGAGCATTATTCATGCTGGTGGGGGCTGCTAGAAATTGAAGCTGAAGCTCTGGGAATCTGCCTCCTGCCCACCCTCTACAGTAGCAATCTAATTAGGAGGGTCTAATTACATAAGGAAAGTTATGGACCACCATCACTGAGTGAAGTACTTCACTAAAGATGTTAACCAAGATGTGCTCACATCAATAGGTACAGAAATTCTCTATTAAAGCTCAGCCTTGGCATTGGAAAACTCTACACCTATGGTTGGGATGGATGGATTTAAATGCTGGTGTTTATTCTCACTTCTACCATAACGTCCAACATAAATAGTTCAAAAACTGACCATGAACTTGCACTGTGTGAAGGAACACTTCCTTTGACATGAGCTGGCACCAACAAAAGAACATAACTTCTTTTATTTTGAGAGAAGGGGATTATATCCCCCACCCCACCCATCTCTCTCATATATTGACTTTATATCAGTTTCTCTTGAATTGCTCCTAAAAATCCTTAATGGTCACACTTTTTCCTGTTCCACCCCCCACAATATTCTTCAGCTGTAAAAACTTCAGCTTAAAAACTGAACAGGCAAAAACCAGGAAGGCCGGATTGTACCCTATGCAAACATATGCAATGGTCATAAAATGAGATTTACTCTGAACACCGATGTCTTTTATCACGGCACTTACTCTCTACGGAGTGTGTATCGTATTGCAGCCTTAGCCCTCTTTTCATCCTTCCCCAAGCTTTATTACTAAACACAGGTATTTGCCTTAATACTGCTGCACCTGTCAACTGAAGTAGCATTTTAGAAGAACTTTTAACCATTAACACAACTATCTTTCATACCACATCAGTCACTGCACACACGCAGTTGGGATGCTTCACCCATTATTTCACCTGGATTAACACTCTGCCTCATGTGTCACGCATCTGCCCAGAGATCTGGGGCAAAAACTCTGTCCCAGAAAACTGCTTGAGAGTATGAAGCAAAATCATGCAAAACATGGCTGAACAACTTGCAGCCCTCTAGATGTTTTGGCTTACAATTTCCATCAGTCCTAGCCAGAATAGTCAAAGGGAGTTGTAGCCCTCCAGATGGTTTTGGCCTACAAGTTACCCACTCTAAAGGAAAAGGAAAGACAATTTGGACATGTTATAACAGAGTGGCAGAAGCTGCAACCTGGGGCCAATCTGCCCCTCTAGCACTGTCTCCAACTTGGGATTTGGGAATCCAAATACATCCTCCTCAAATAATGTCTATGGCAGCAGAATCACTTCTTTTGTTTCTCTAAACACTTCATGGGGAAGGTGGCAGTATGAATGACCAACAGACCCACCTTAAGATCCTGGGGCATATTTTCTCATGGGCTTCCACCACTGTGATTTGCAACAGGGCAAAGATGGAACCAGGAAATGGACCGTTTTCCAAAGTCACTACACTTCACTATGAAAAAGCTTTAAACTGGATTTCAAGCATTATAATAGCCTAGACCCTACTCCTTTCCTTCTGAAATTTTAAGTGTCTTGCTTGAGGACATCTCAGTGGTCTGTGCCATTTTCATACACATTCACCATCAAGTAAAAAAAACAACACTTTTTCTCTCTCAGTGTCTGAAAGGATCCGAAAGCAAAACACTTCTCCTCCTCAATTGGAGAACTCACCTTTCACATTAAGTGCTCTATCTACTTTTCCGAAACGCTGTTTGCTATTTTTTTTTAATTTAGGGACACCTCCAGGCTGCATGTAACTTTCAGAACAATGGGCCACAAAAATATAAGGAAATAACTATATCTTCTTTTGGAAAACCTCAAAAAGTCAAGCTGCTCTTGTACAAAAAATCCTGTGGCTATCATTCTACTATCTGACAGATGTGATCCTTGCAGTTTTCATCCGTCTGCCAAGAATTTTTTAAAAGCCTTTATTGACTTTTCTCTGAAAAGCAAATCAAAACGTTAAGGGACATAACCCCTGTACTCCTATTTTTATGACACGGAGCTGGTGTAAGCCCCTTCCTAAGGCGCACTGTGCCTGCATCTATCATCCAGATGGCTCACTTTGTCACACCTCAGGCACATCATATGAAGGCAAGACGGTCTGGAGAAGCCAATCATGCTAGGGAAAGTGACCGCAGAAGAGGAGGAAGACCAAATATCAGATGGATTGACTCCATAAAGGAAGTCACAGTCTTGAATTTAGAAGAGCTGCAGGTTTATCATAGATACGACATTCTGGAGGGCTTTTGTTCATAGGGTCAGCATTAGATGGAGATGAATTGATGGCACATAACAACAACATTACTCAATTCAGACCAAGAGAAAAAAGTGTTTTGTTTTGTTCTGTTTCCCATAACAACCAAGAGGAAACACAAACCCTCTGCTTTCTAAACCTTGACTTGGGTTCGGGACTGAGTCAAAGTGAACCAACTCCAGATGGGTCTGAGCAGATCAGGGATGCTTTCCAAAGCACCACCTGAGGTGCAAGTCAAAGTAGCTTTGTGTGCATGTGTGCGCACTTGCATATGGGTGTGCATGCACAAATTACAATTCTGTGTCCCAGATCTTTTAAGCACTTGCAAAGTCCCTGCCAAAATAATATTTCATCCTTGGGCTGGAAGAGGTTCAACATCCCTTTTTTATAGTATATGCATGATTTTATTTTCTCAAGAAACCTTCCCCTGCACTGAGAATAACACAACAGAATGGACATTCCCCAAACTTTTTAAAAGGCACAGCTTGTTTTTGCTTATCTGGGGCAGCCAGACTCTGATTCTGCAGAATGTCTGCCTACTTACCAGCACCATGCAGCAAGATGCACTTACTGGCCCTCCAGGAGAAGAGGAGCTTCATTTGGGCAGCATTATTCTTATTTGGCAGGGAGAAGTTCAGGAAGCATCACTTTGCAATTAAGTCCAGCTTCTCTTCCCCCACCCCCAGCCACTCCAATTTCATTCTCCCTCATGATATTACAGAGTAAGGCAAAGCAGCCCTGAAGGGAAGGGCGTGGAAACGGAATTCTGAGCTCTAAGCAGCTAATGCAATAGACAGCATGCAAGGTTGGAACATTATTATTTGGAGCCAATTTGCAAGGATAGCCAACACTCCTGCTCTCCATCAGTCCCTGTGGCCTGCCCAAGAGGTTAATCCTTCTAAACCCTAAACAAAACCATGACCTTAACAGATACAGACATGATTCCCAGCCAAGGAGGGGGCCAGTCTCCTCCTAGTTCTTGACTTCCACCTCTGACTGGGAAAGCAGCCCTCAGGCCAAGAACGCGGCAAGCAGGGAAGAGGGAGCTTCCCCCTCCCCGCGACTAGGGAATTCTCCCCCCGCCGCTCTTCGTCTGCAAGCGCGACCCTCGCTTGCTTCCCCTCCCCAGAACTTGGGAGAGTGGCAGTGACGGGAGCGTAGATGAAGCGTGCTGGCGGAGATGGGATGATTCTGCCCTCCTCTCCTTTGCAGAAAGCCGGCTTCAATGGCTGCCCGGGGGGACCTCAGCAAAGCCCGCTGGCTCGCGGGAGGCAGGGCGGCCTCGGACCTCTGGGGCTTTGCTGCTGTTCAGGTTACCTGCACCGGAGGGCAGGAACGGCGGCGGCCGCGGCTACGGCCAAGGTCTTACTTGCCATTGTGATTTCCAAGATGCTAGGAGCAGCCCGACCCCCTCCCGTCGCCGGCCGTCTTGATGTTCTGCTTTGATCTCCTCTTTTCCTGCGATTGGGTACCGGAGGACAGCGCTTTGGCTCAGGATTGGGCCGGGTCTGGTGTCACTCACAAGGGGAGGATCACTGCCGCAAACTCGGAAGTTCGGCAGTGAGAAGCTGCGATTTGCGCGGGCCTCGCTGCCAGCCGAAGGGAGCTGGCGTGGCCGGCCAGGTGGAAGAGCCGCCTGCTTCTCTTCTTCACAGTATTCGCTTCTTGGTCCACCCTTGCCAGGGTGAGCCCGCCATCCGGTGCGAGCAGCTTTTATTTTTTGCAAAGTGGTTCTCGCCTAGAAGGGTTGTCAAGTCTACTTTCTACAGGTGCCCTCCAGTGGTTTTAGTTTGCAGTTCACAGGATTCCCTGGCTGAGGTTGAAGGGAGTTGAACTCCGAAACACTGGAAGGACCTGGTTGGGGAAGGATGTACTAGATGATGCGGTATTCTTGTTTGAACTGCCTTTTCAAGGTGGTCACTCTGCACATGCTCAAAGGCATCATGCCACAGTTCATACGTTTCCTCTGAAGACAGTATCCTATGGAGAAGGGCAATGGTTTCCAAAACACTACTGTTCCCCTTCCCACCGTGGACATGGGTCATAAATTAAAAGCAACAACAACACACTTCATGAAGAGTTATTTATTTCATCACAAATGTTCACCATCCTACAGACCACAATGATTAGGAAATGGCTCAACAGGAGAATCCTCACAGCTGAAAACATTTTAGTATGCAATCCCATACTTACTGAACTGGGAGTATGTCCCACTGATGTCAGTGGGCCTTACTTCTGAGTAAACATGGATAGGATTTCCAGACAGGCACTGTGTAAGTCTGCAGCAGCACAAATAGCCAAGTCATGTGACACCTTAAACACAAACATATGTATTCTACCAAAATCTTTCATAGACACTGTCCATTTGTTCATCTAATGAGCTGGATAATGTCTATAAAAACTTATATATTAGATTCCACAGAACTCTTTGGTGGATATGTTTGTACTTTAGTCGTTAAAGCTAATGATGCTCCTATATTAGTTTTTGTGAATATTAAGAGTCAACCTTTGATCGTGGACTATTTCTGAAATATAGACTATATGTCCTCCAGATGTTTTGCACAGCAGCTTTTATTCCTTTTTTTATTTCTGTAACACCCAACAACAAAAGCTCTCTTGGCAGTTCACAACAGTTCCTTGATATAATATGATAAAGCACCATCACATTTTTCCACCCAGCAACAGCATCTCTGTCTTGTCTGAACTGAGCTTCAGCGTATTAGCCCGTTTCAGGCATAGTCTCACCTGATGGGATGAAAAGGAGAAGCAGAGCTGCATGTCATCAGCATACTGATTGCAACACACTCCAAAACTCCAGATGACCCCACTTGGTGTTTTCATGTAGATGTTAAATAGCATGAGGGACAGAACCAAGCCCCCAGGAACCCATGCTAGAGAATCCACAGCAAACAATATTCCCCAGACACCAGCTTCTGGCGCACTCCCCCATACATACACACGTGGTCTCCCAGCTCAAACAAATGCCCCAAGAATACCAGGATGGTAATGAAAGCCACTGGGAGATGCAGGAGTATCAGCAGAATCACACCTTCTCAGGCTTTTCCTTGACACAGGGCAACCAAAGTTGTTTCCATGCAAGAACCTGGCCTGAACCTGACTGACATGGATCCAGAGAATCACTCTCATCCACGAGTACCTGGAACTAGCTGACTACTACCCACTCAGACTGTATTTGCCACCAGCCTACAGTTGTCGATATCCTCTGCTCCAAAGATGAATCTTTCAGGTGTGGTCTCGCCACCACTTCTTTCAGGCGCCATGGGACCACTCTCTCTTACAAGGAGGCATCGATCAGTTCCCTGGCCCAATTAGTTCTATCTGACTGTTGACTTTTATAAGCTAGGAAGGATAAGAATAATGTGGAGATGTGACTGCATGACCCCATCCAAGCACCTCATCAATGGCCTCAAGCTGTATGAACTGAAACTCTTCCAAGGAAACTGTACCTCCGAGGACCTCATGTAACTGTGTAACACTGGCATCTAAGTCCTAGCCAATGCCAGAGATTTTGTCCTGGAAGTGCTTGGCAAATATATTACAGTGCAACTTGAACAAGTCTAATATATCCTTAGGGAATAGCATAGAACAGGCTCTGGACTCCCTTGAGCAGCACAAAGAAGACTGGATAGAAGCAGCATAATGTTGTTTCCTTGCCACCTTCACTACTCCTAATTATGCATGATTACAGGCACATGCCATGGTTTGACTGCATCCAGTAGGAGCTTTTCTCCATTTGTACTCAGTCACCTGTTTTGCTGCTTCACTCTCCACTCCAAGGTATACCATGGAGCTATACAAGCTCTACTACAGAAAGGGTGCTCACAAGTAATAGTGTCAACTCCCTGGGTCATCTCTGTGTTCCACAGATCAACCAAGGTTTTAGCAAGAGCACCTGCTACATCATTTGGAAATCTCACCACTGGAAACAGTCTGGATCCATTAACTTCTAGAGTGAGGCCATCTTAATAGGTCCTCCACCCCTGCAGTGGGGATAGGTTTCCCTTAGTCAAAACTTCAGCACACAATGATCAGTCATGACAAAGGGATCCTATCTTCTGAACAACATCTTCATGCTTGACAAAAAGACCAAGTGTAGAGTGTGCCCTGCTGCATGTGTTGATGACATGCTGGGACAGTTGTTACGGTAGGCATGAAATCCTGAGTTGCCCCAAACAAGATGCCATCAGCATGAATATTGAACTCCCCCAGAACCAACAGCCTGGGGAACACCAGCACCACATCCAAGACCACCTCTGTCTGCTCAGGAAGGGAGACTGATGGATCAAGGAATGAGCAGTGTACAAGCAGAATCTCTAATTCATCTCATTGGCTGAACACAAGATGTAAATTCTCCAGCTCAACAGTCAGACAGACAGGGTGCCTTGAGAGAAGAGACAGAATTCTTACAGATCATGACAACACCCCTCCCCAGTCCTGAAGTCCACCCTGAATCTATACCAAGTATCCCAATAGGCACAATTGGGAAAGGCTACCTCATTCCTGGTTGCCTAGCCCATCTCAGTTACACATGTCAGAGCAGCTGCCTTATCCACTATGATACTGAGGACGAGGCAGGTCTTATTCTGCACTGATCTAGTGGCAATATTGACTATTGCCCATACTGACTGGGACTGAAGGAAACTATAGGTCAAAACATCTGTAGAGCAGCAGGATGAAAAGGCTTAAACTAGGGTGGACAATTTATGGTGCTCCAGATATTATGACTTACAGCTCCCAACCTTAATCAGCACTGGCTATACTTAGGAAAGATTAGAGCTGTAGCCCAAAATACCTGGAGCACCATAAATTGCTCCCCCACTGATTTAAACGGGATGAGGCCAGATTATTTGAAAATGTGTCTTGAACCATACAGATGTGCCCTGGTCTTGGAAGCCCTGTTTAAGAGCAGGTATGCTGGCAAACACATGGGCCTAGGCTCCTCAGCTCTGGCTTTCCCTTCCTCAGCAAGTGTGCCTCACATTCTCATTAGTTTCCTTCAATGCTTTTTACTGAGAATCACACTGGCCTAATACTTTAGTTTTTGTTTCATACATGGTATTGCAAACCACCTTACATGATCTTATGACTAAGAAGATCATCCGAACCCAAGGTCTACAGCAACAATTCAAACATCAGAACTAAAGCGTTTGCCATTTGCTGAGTTGGACTCTTAAATTTCATGTTGGTTTGCAGCAGGCCAATAATCAGCCTAAAAGTTTTGGGGCAGTTCATCTGGTTTGCAGATCCTTTAATGGCAAAAAAGTAAACTTTTTAAATTTGTCTGTTTAAAAAATGGCAGAGAAAATGTAAGAGGAGCAGCCACACCCCATTCGCTACTGTATACAAGCTCTGTTCTTATGTTTGCAAAGCTCGGATAGCTAAAAACTGTTTTTAACACAATGCAAACAGAACACTAACCAAGAGATAATAACAGAAGATGTCCCTTCAAAGAACATACTGAGAAAGAAACAGCAGCCCCGTTAAGGTATAGGACGAGCATCACTCTAGCGGGGCTTTTCCAGGCTCAGCGGCTTCTCCACTCATGCGGGAGGGCGGCGGACTTGCTTTTCTGGGGTCAGCACCATGCTGCAACCCGGCCAACTGCAGAGCACAGCGGGACTTACCGAGCAAACTGGCAAACGGTCGGATGGCTCGACGCCACCATGCACGGTCGACTTCGCCGCACAGCGCCTCTCGTTCCTTCGGGGGACCTGCTGCAATCAGGCCGGGCTTCCACGCGGGGTCTCCCTCGTCCCTCTCACGCCGCTGTCGCTCTTTCCCCGGGCGCGGAGGCGTCCCGGAGGTGGGGCTCTGGCTCTCTAGGAACTTTATTCCGGCATCGTCGTTAGCCCTACAGCCGCTTTGCCTGCAGCCCTAACCGGAAGTGCGGCGCTGGGGCTCTCTTTCCTCCGCTCGGTGGTCTTTTCTTCTGCTTTAAGGGACCGACTCGCCGTGCGTAGCTTAGCGCATCTGTCAGTTCACAGGTAAAAAAAAAAAAAAGCACGCCGGACTTCATGTTACCAATCTTCTCACCTGAGGGAAATGCGCACATTGCTAATTTCTTCCTTTCTACCCCACGCCCAGCCGTTAAGTAGGAGATCATTTTTAGGCCCCGGTTTGTTTCCTTGATTTATTTGATACTTGTTGCGATACCTCTGCCTTTATGTTTTTCCTCAGCTGTATGGATTAGTTCCCAAACGCGGCGTGAGGGCAGGAGATTTCTCAAAATGTGGTTGGGATTAAACTTGAGAAGTTAGGTTGTAGTTTTGAGATTGGAAGACCATAAGGAAGAAGGTCTTTCTTTTTCCCGTTTCGTTTTTGTTTATTCTGTTGTTTCTGCCTTTGAAAAGTCCCATTCGGGCATTTTGATAGCGTATATAGCAAACTTGGCAGATGAGCATGCTAGCTCAGTCCTCAGCACTCTACGTGTTGCAGCCATCAGAAAAGTTATGCATGGGATGTACATTGCAGAGCCTGCACAGAGACAGCGGATCTCTCGCAAATCCATTGATGGAGGTGCTGCAGAGCTAACGTATGCCCTCTCCATTTGTGTATGTGTTTGTTAGGCTAGGGCTACCGTAGATAGATGGTGATACCTTCCAAAGTGAAAGTGGTAGTATGGTAAAGGCAGGCCTCAGTGATAGAGGCATTCATGCTTCATCCAGTATCATCTCTGCCCCTCAGGTTTCTGTGGTAGTTCCTGTTCTATCAGAAATGGAAGCAACTTGCTCATCCTTGTTTCCCCTTCACATGTTCACTCTACTGAATACAGTCGACACAGATGCACAAATATGACTTGCAAAGGAAAAACAATAGCTATCTCATATCATTTCCAGGTGCTATAAATTATTTTGTGTCTTGCCAATGCCCATTTCTGTTTCCTAATTATTTGGAGAGATTAGAATAAAGATCAAATCCATGTGTTTCCTCCAAAAAATAAAAAATCCATGCATTATTTCTAATACTTGTTTCTACTTACCTAAAGAAGGGATGATTACCTAATTGCTTATAACTTGTCAAGCAAGAAGATTTAAAAGAACACCCTAAATATTTAAAGCAGTGTTTTATAAATGCAGTTTAAAACTGATAAAATTATATAGAATGGAACTTCCATCCTACCTAAATATATCTTAAGTCTGAACAGAAGACTGTTCTCTGGATGATTTGTAATAAAACTGCAAGGGTTTCTGACTCTTAACAGTTTAACAACAGTATAAACTAAATTATTTTTCTCCCTAAAGTAAGCTGTTGAAATGGAGAAAGAGCACAGAGTGGGCTTGTGAGTTGAGTTCCATTCCATTCCTGTACTGAAATCAAAGTCATAATATGCTCAGAGGCATTTTGTGCTTTAATTCTCAGTATAAATCCTTTGCATGTGGCTCTTTTTGATGGAGTTTAGGATCTGGCTGCCTTCCAAGATTGGAAAAGCAACTTTGGAGGAGAGGGAAAAAGCACATTCTGGAGGGTAAGAAGATAAGGAGACCACAGAAACCAGGATATGAGATATCCTGAGTGTCCACCAGGCTTCAGTCCCACAGGGCATAGGAATCTCAAAAGCCTTCAGATTCTGGGGTCTCCCACCAGCGAGAGTTCAGTCAGTAGGACTGCTCCACCAATGTGAAATCTACATGGAGATCACATACCACAAATGTGCACTTCTCAAAGTGTGTTGTGAAGCCAAAATTGACTGTGATATCACATCATGGGCATAGTAGGGTGTGCATTTCAAAGTTTCTTCTAGGTAGGAATTCTGAAATGTGTGATGTGGCCTGTAGGCTTGCATGCTGTAGGAGAACACATCAGTGCAGTTTCAAGGGTACCTACTATCTATGCAATCAGAGAGTTGAGAACAAGAATGTTACCTTTTCTATATTCTTCAGCTATATAACATGGATTTATCGTATACACTGTGTTCATAATGACCCAGCCCAAGTGAATCCCCTCTGGTTTTCTCACTTTCTCTAGGTTACTGCAGGACAATCTGAATGCTTTGCCAGGACATGATGTCTCCCGTTGACATTCAGCTTGAAAGGAATGACGAGACTGGAGCATTTTGCAATGGTGATATGTTCTCTTAAACCAGACTGGTGATAGAGGCTTCCAAAGTCCCGTGGTAGCCCAAAAAAGGAATACCTCCCCTCATTCTTGGACCTAATTACCCTCTGGAGCCATGAAACCCTTCCGTGGATCTTTGTACAAGAAACTTTTGTGTTTGCTCCAACACTGCGGACATTTTGGACTGAGTCCTGCCAAAGGCCCCTGCCATAGACTAAGACAGTATTCCTGTTATAAAGCAGGACTGGTTACAGCTACTGATCTGGTCAGTTACTGGCAAGATGTGTTTGAAGCAAATGCAATCCCTGAACCACAGACATCTGCTGAATATATTGTTGCACAAGTTCTGGGAGCAAAAACAGTTAAGTGTCATGCATGAATTCATTGTTATCTGTGCAAAAAATTACTATTAGTGTCTGAAAAAGTGCTCATATCTGGCTGTCCAGTCAGCACATCAGTGCTCTTATTACAACTCACTCCTGTCCAATGGAATATATAGTGCTTTTTGTAGACAGTTAGGCTCAGATCAGGCATGTCTTTAAAGAACACTGCTCTTTTGAAGCAGGTGTATCATGGCTGTTGGCCATTTGCAGTAACATCTGAGTGCAGTGTATCCTGTTTACACTGCAGATATTTGTTCTGGATTGCTATTTATATTGGACGAAAACTAGTCTGTGCTTGCCATTAATTGAAATGGCTGAGCTACTGCTTATACCATTCCCCAAGAGGAAACTACCTCAACTACTGCATACTCAGCACCATACTGTATGACCTTAGAATTGTGCAATGTTCCCACTTGCTCTGTTTCTCAGAGGCCCAGAATTTTGACTTTGAAATTTTGCAAAATACTCCTAATCTCAGCAAGAGGGGAGCTGTATCCTCAGGCTTGCTAATGCAGCTACTCATTTGGTAGCAGTGAGAAGGAATTACGTGCATGTGGGCAAGCAGGAGAGCTTTTGTAAGTCTTAGAGTAAGAGATTTGTCTTTATTTTCAAGCTGTTAATATTCCTCAGATGAGGTTTTTTCTCTCTCTCACATCTCTAATTCTAGAACTTGGGGTTAGCCAATGAAATGAGTTGCTGGTAGACTGAGGACAGTCAAAAGGAAGTATTTCTTAACACATTGTATGATTGAGTTGCAGAATTTGTGGAATTTGGTGTGATACAGTGTGAGAGCCACCATTTGAGATAGCTTTACAACAACCACATAAACAACCCCACAAGAATTACTTGGCTGCAAAAGAAAAGAAAAAAAAGTGCTTTCTTGCCATGAAGCTAGGTGCCTGCATTTCCTTGTTGACTGCCTAGGAAAAGAAGCCTCTTTTCCATACCTACCATGGTATGGAAAGTAAAGAAAGTTTACTTTCTCCCAAGTCAACCAGCAGAGAAGAAAGTGGGCACAGTAGGTCACTCCTTACCAACCCAGTTGATTTCCAGGCTGATTACAAAGAAAGGAGCTTACCTTCCTCCATAACTTTATAACAAAAGCAGACAAGTGACAGAAGACTGGATCACTCCAACCCATGTTCACTGTGCGTTCCCATAGTGGCCACAGCGGATGGAATGTCTCTTCTACTCTGGAGGGCCCAGAAATCATCTTTTGCCATCCTATGCACTTGCCTGCATGAAACCCCATGTTGCTTAAAGCTACCCGGTAAGCTGCTTTAAAAGGAAATCAGTCAAATTCATGGTGGATATATCTATGAACAGTCATAACAGCTAGTAGGAACCCCTGTATTGAGAGACAATAGGCCACTGAATGTCAGTTGCACTGGTGATGTGGTTGTTTTCCATTACCTATTTATTGTGTTTTTAGCAGCCTGTAGTTCAGCCTTCCCCAACCTCATGTGCCCATGGCACAGGTGTTTTATGCTTCAGTTCCTATCAGCCACAGCCAACATGGTCAGTGGTCAGGAATGCTGCGAGTTGCCCAAGCACCTGGAGAGCACTAGGTTGGAAAAGGCTGAACAAGTCAGTCACATCTTAGACTTTTCTCATCCAGCACAGCTCTTTTTATCATTACCATAGACATAGACATGAGAGTAGGCAGGCATTTCAACATCTGGTTTGTGGTTTAACAACATTTGGGGCCTTCCTTTATTAAACACCTGCCACTGTCTTCCTTCTCAGTTCCAGAGCTTGAGCACCAGCTGCATCTCTACTCCCCTCTTGGCAAAACAACAGGATCAGGTCCAGGAGCTCTGTGCAAAGCGGCTACAAAGGTAGGTATGTTCCTGCTTTTCATATGTTTTACATAAAATGTGAGAATAGGAAAAAATGACTGGGACCCTGAGCTCAGTTGCATGTACCATGATGCCTATAGACTGTCAAGCAGTTTACAAGACAAGTTAGGGTGGAAGACATGAACAAGCTGGGGTAGAGGGGGAATATATTAAATGCGTATCTCCTTTAATGAGGAATTGGAATAAATTTTAAATGGAAAATTTAAATGGGTCCTCCTAGTAGCAAAAATGCAAGAAGGTACTAGGACTGGAAGTAGCTGCTGAGCTATCCCTGCAGCTCTGTAAAATAGCAGCAGGCCATTAGCATTTTATTCTGAGTAAATCTTCTTGAAATCCAAAGGGCCTTGGTTAAGAACCAAGCCAGCAGAGAGGTGCAAGTAACACACACAGCTACTAGGCTTACAAGAATACTATTCAGCAATTGTGACCTAAAATTATTTAAATAAATAAGAATTTCCAGCAAAACAAGAGCACAGAAGAGGCAGAAAATATTTCATTCTCCAAATGCCAAAATGTGTCAGTGTAGAGTAGCTAAATCTGTCAGTTCCATAGGTTTCTTCAAGCATGTTGAAAATTGAAATGAAGAATTTCAATGAAATGTTGAAATATTTCATAGAAAATATTTGCAGTGAAGAGACCTAGATTGTGATCCATCCTACATGGAGCAGGAGCCAAGCCATCCAGGTCTATGTGTAGACCAATGAGGAAAGAACAGGCAATAATGGCAGGAAGTGAAATGCCTTGGGATTGAATTTCACACACAGTAGCTAATGGGATACATATCAATAGAGGGAGGACTGAGTGGCAAGAATGGAATGTGTGTTTGTTGTATGGGGGGGGGGTTCTTTGTTTTTTGTAAGCTGTTCAGAGACTGTAGTATTGGATGGCATATAAAAACTTTAAATAAATAATTGGAATCCATGATAAAAGTTAAAACCGCTTGATTGGTTGTCAAGTAGATTGTGGGTGGGTGGGTAGGTGGGTGGGGAACCTGCAAACCATGGTAACCATGAAGGGTTGCTTGTTTTATTGTGTGAACACAGCCAATAGGTCAAAGTAGACTAGCCGTCCCACAACTAGGTGTCCTCAAGATAGCTCAGACCAACTCCCAGCATACCCCATCAGCATGTCCAATGGTCATAAATGGTAGGAGTTGTAGACTGGCATATCTGGAGTGTACCAAGTTAGGGAAGTCTTGAAGGATAAAATCAAAATGATAAGCCATCTTCATTAATGGAGGATGTCCGGAAGCTTGACAGCTTTACAACCTCAAGTACCAGAAGTTGTACCACTATATATTAGCACATCAGATAATATTGTAAAGTCATGCATAGTGGATCTGCCTTCTGTGACCTCTGCTGAACTGCTCTGTTTTGGAAGCAAGCATTGCCATGCATTTTTGTTTGCCTCAGAAACTGCTAGGCTCTCACTGTGCTCAAGACAGGATCCTCTAGCGCTGGAGCACTACGGTCCAAAGTTTATGGTGTTACCATCATCTGCCTTTAGGCATGCAGGGACCTCTTGACATAGTCACTGTAGGTCTCAGTATGTATCCAAGGTAGATCTAGGACATTTGCATCTTCCAAGACTCTGACTCAAAGTGACGGGAATGACATCTTTCTTTAAATCCCACGTAACATGATGTTTGTCCACTGGGTTCAATAGAACAAACTCCCTAATAACTGTTATTAGGCTTTCATCTGCAATGTAATAACTGCACTATTAAACTATTAAATGCCTCCACATGTATCTTTTGTGCAACATGGCAAACCAGCCTGGAAATCATCAGTTAACTTCAGTTTCCTGTTAGTCTTAACCAGTAATAGCTGGTTAACAGCTTTGAAAGAACACAGGTTGTGAAGCCATGCCTTAAAGCTGGCTCAGTACCTGGTTGATTTGTGTGTGTGTTTTGTTTTATTGTTTGAAAATGTTTCCCATTAATTTGGAACCAAGAAATGGGTATCTTTTAACTAAGGACTTCCTGGCATATTTGCCAGCTTGTGCAATGAAAGAAGCAAAGTGGCTCCACATGGGTGCATAAGGCAGTTCTATATTAAGTCAATATATGATTGGCAACATGTATCTATACATGTGTTATATTAAATATAATTTGATGTTTGCCAAGCAAAATGGACCCCTCTCAGCAAAATCAGAAAGGAAAACCATACAGGGAGCTTAGTTACAGCCTTTTCAAGTGAAGGAATTGAGCTAGATCTTGCATTTGATTCAAAAACAGCTAGAAAAGTAGGTACTCACCTGGTTCACATGATCAGCATAGCTCACCATAGCTTAGTTAACCCACACCTGATTGATTGGTTGTCCTTGTCCCATTTTATAGACTGAATTATGACAAGGAATTAAAGTCACACAGTATGGGGATCTCTTTCAGCGATACCACTTCTGTTGGAAAAAAATGGAAACATTTAAGCTCTGCTGTTTTTGTTTTTTCCCTCCTGTAGGAGAAGACAGCATAATAAAAATATGCAAGAGATTGATTTTAGATACCTAACATATCTAATAAATGATGCAAACACTTTTATCATTTCACTTGTCTTAATCACAGTGTCTTTCAACATTATAATTGCAGTACTTTTACATACTGTTGAAAATGGCTTTGCTGCCTGAGGATGTATCATGTGCATCTTTGATCAGAGATCTCTGATCAAAGATCTCTTATCTATATTTCTTACATCTGAGTGTGCCAGGAGCTGAAACATAGAACCATGTCAGTTTTTAAATGTATGAATGGATTCTAAATTAAACATGCTGCATATTTACCTTGACTCTTTTAACAACAAAAAGTATGGGGAAAGATAATTCCCCTAGTTTATATGCTTTTCCAGAGCAGAACATGTGATTTATGGGGGAAAGGTTCAGGAGCATGTATATGAAAATGACTTTATTCTGCAAACATTTTAATAATTGATTTTATACTGTTGAATTTTAAGGTATATAGTTTTATAGTACTTTGGTTTGAACATGCTATTTTAATCTATTCATACCTTGATCCCTCAGCTGCATAATATATGTTCTATTGTATATTGCTATACTATATATGTTTCCTATTGTGTAATGCTGTTTTTATTGCTTCTTTGCAATCCACTTAGAGGCTTTTAGACTAAAAAGTGTGCAATATAAATTGAATGAATAGGGAAATATGATGGGCCTTAAAATGCAGAGATAAGAGGCAGAGTGCTTGAGTATATTGATGCCTGCTGGATGGGTAAGCTTGTGATGTCTGTTTGATGAATAGAGCTGAGAATTCAGCAGAGACCAGCACTGTTGAAAGGAAACATAACAGTGAAGAAAGTTTCCTTATCTCATAGTTTGCCAGTTTCTAAGGGACTCTTCATCCAGAATGTTAAGTGTCTGCATGGCTTTGGACACAAAGCTTTGCATTAAACAAAAGTCTTTCATCTCCTAGCATGACCCATCCAGCCATGCTGGGAACTACAAGATTTTTTTCTGCCTCAACATGCATATTAGGATGGCACCTTCAGTGAATGTAGTCTTCTTCAAAATCAAGAATACTGCTTATGTAGCTTGACTTGTTGCATTATATTTTACTTTCTATTTGACCAGTTTCTGGCAAGTGATTGCAGAATGCTTTTCTGTGGGATGCTGGGTGGCTTGAATGCTAGCAGTTCTGTGGCAGCAGAGAAGTAAGTACACCCTGAGGTATGAGGCAGAGTAGTAGATAGCCTGTCATAGAAAACCAGTGCTATCATTTATAGCCTCACTAGCTAAATTCTTATCATTTGTCAAAGAACATTTGGAAATCATCTATGATAGCACTAAATGTTCTCCTTCCCTCCCACTCTACCCATTTTGGAAGGTACTGCCAGTGCTGTTGTTTGTGCTTAGAGGAGGATAGTAAATTTAGTATGATGATAAGAACTTGTAAGTAATCGGAGTCTTGGCCAGATACACCATGTAACTTATCTCCTCCCATTCCAGAATGCCAGTGCAGTATGTTCTTGGTGAGTGGGATTTCCAGGATCTGACACTCAAGATGAAAGCTCCAGTCTTCATTCCTCGACCAGAGACAGAGGCAAGTAATCAGAATGGGAAAGCTTTAGCTGTTCTCAGGAGCTGCTTCATTGCTGTATGTCTACAGGCATTTTTTTTAGCCCTTGCTGCCTTTCCAGCAGGAGAAATGGAGCCTGACATCAGGGCAGTCTTTGTTGACTAACCTGTTTTATCTTGGCTCTGTTCCAGCTTGAAAAATCTTTGGAATGGCAATTGCTTTACTTGCTGCTATGATCATGCCAAAGTTTGTTTAGATGTATTTGTGATTTTTTTTAATATAGTGAGTTTTTATCATTACTTAAAATGTCACTGGCTTGGACAGTTTTGTGAACATGGATGTTTAGAAGCACTGGCAGTAGAAAGATGGAGCAGGGTAATCTGTTGGTCTCTCTCTTGGTTTGAGCTAGTAGGAAGGTGACAGGGGAACTTTGACTGTTTTATCGTGGATCAGGGAATAATTGTGCAAAGGCACCTCTGGTGCAATACTGTGCATGTCTCAGATTTAAACCACATTAAGTTCAATTAGGATGTACCTCCAAGTACTTGTATAGGTTTGCAGCCTTAGCCAACAGTTCCTGAGCTAGCAGTTCCCATTTGAGCATCACACTGGACTTGCAGACCTTGCTCATTTTCTGTAATGACATCCCTGTGCTCCAACAAAAGACCGGAAAGTATGGCAGGACAATGTAAACCTGGTGTAGGAGTTCCAAGGTCAGACTCCTCCTCTTCATGGCTTCATTGCACCTGTGGAGATTCTACAGTGTCAGTGATAACATCAGTGTTGTGACTGGTATAGGTAAAGGTGCTCTTCTAAAAGTTGGTTATGCTACCAAATATGCTTCTCCTTTAAAATATTTGTATTTATACTACCTTTCTTATAATCATAGAATAGTAGAATTGGAAGGGGCCATGAAGGCCATCAGATCTAGCCTCCTGGTGTTGCAGGACATCAGTTTACATCATCCCACTCAGATGGCTTTCCAGTTTCTTTTTGAATGTCTCTGGTGTGGGTGAGTCCACCACCTCTCTAGGTGACCGGTTCTACTGTCATATTGCTCTGACAGTGAGGAAACGTTTCCTGATATCTAGCCTGAATTTGGGTTGTTGCAACTTGAACTGATCATTCCATGTCCTACACTCTGGTATCAGTGATAACAGATCTTGACCTTCCTTTTTATGACAGCCTTTGAGGCACTTATAGAAGGATATCATGTCCCCCACCTCTGTCTCCTCTTCTCAAGACTGAACATGCCCAGTTCTCTCAGTCTCTTTCCTCATAGGGCAGTGTTTCCAAACCCTGGATCCTTTTTGTTGCCCTCCTCTGGACCCTTTCTAATTTTTCTGCATTTTTTAAAAATCTTGGTGTCCAGAACTGGACACAGTATTCCAGATAGGGCCTGGCTTGTGAGGAGTATAGGGGAACTCCTCCTCCTCCTGATTTGGAAGTAATACTTCTGATAATGCATCTCAAAATAGCATTTGCTGTTTTGGCTGCTGCATTGCATTGATGGCTCATATTTTGTCTGTTATCCACAATTACTCCAAGATCTTTTTCAGTTCTCTTGAGCCACATATTTCCCATCTCATATCGATGCATTTGGTTTCTTTTTCCTAGGTGGAGGACTTGGCATTTGTTCCTATTGATTCTCATTATGTTGCTTTCAGCCCAGCATTTAAGTTTATCAAGATAATCTGGATCTTCATTCTGTCTTCTAGGGTGTTTGCTATTCCACCCAGTTTTGTATCATCTGCAGATAAGATTATCTTTCCTTGTACTTCCTCATCTAAATCAATAATAAAGATGTTGAAGAGCACTGGGCCCAGGACTGAACCCTGCAGCACCCCACTAGTTACCTTCCTCCAGTCTGAGAAGATGTTATTGATGAGCACTCTTTGTGTCTGATTTAGCAGCCAATTTTGGATCCACATAATAGTTTGTCTATCTAGATCAGTTTTTGCTAATTTTCTTATCAGAATGTTGTGGAGCACTATGTCAAAAGCTATGGTAATATTAAGACCAAACAACTTTTTTTTAAATTGTCAGAGTCATGATAAAACTAAGAGGTTAGACTGAGGCACTAAAATTACTAGGGTACGGAAAGTTGTCTCAAGAATTTCTCCACTTTGCGTAACCATGAGCCATATTGTATTTCAAAAGCAAATGTCCCAGGAAACACAAGTGCAATGCAAGCTGTTTAAGGAGATTATGCTTTCCTTCTCTTAATAATTTTGTGATACCTCCTAAATTCTCTTCTCTTTCTTTTTTTCTGTATAGTATTCCCTGATGCACTGCTGATGGTTCTTCTTGTACCCAAGGAGCACCTTATTTGAGTTTTCCTGCCTTCACCTAGCAAAAAGCTTAGTATTTATGTAATAGAAAGTACATTTTCTTGGTAGTCATTGTTATGCATTGGGGAAAAAAGATCCTAAGTCCCTTGAGACAGAGAATGGAAATCAGTTTTACCTTTGTGGATCCTTGCAGATTCAGTTACCACAAAGAAATCCTGGTATGCAATTCATCCATTGCCTAAGAGAACTTCAACATAGTGGCTCAACACAAGACTATCTGCTGTTATTGCCACTTTCTGTGCCATTTCCTTCTTTTCCTCAAGCCACACCAGCCGCACCCACCTTGTTCCTTCAGCAAATGCCCACTGAGGGTAGTGCATGCAGTGACAGCACAAGAGAGTTTTGTAAGTGTACAAGTGTGCTTCCATAATTGATGCCAGTGTGTGCCAACCTAGTTTGCTATTCAGCATGCTATCTTGTGCCACCTTTGAATTCTGCTGCAAGATCTTAATATGAACGATGGACTAAGAATTGCCCATCGCTGCCCTTTCAAATAGCAAACAAAGGGCAGATAAAGGCTTTAGTGGATTTCTGGAAAATTCTGAATTGAACATTTTTCTGGAAAAAAGTCCAGTGCAAATTATGGTGATTTGTATCAGAAAATGTTCAATTTGAATTTGATCTTTATAACATAGAGAGTGATCATATCTTAGAGTAGTTATTTGACTCGCATTTATTAATAATCATTTCATTTCTGTACTGCCCACAGCCAAAGCTCTCTGATTTACTAAACAAAGTTAAAAGTAAACTTACCAAAATGCAGGGACACTTGAAGTTTGCTAAGTAAATGTCATATTTAAATTTTATTCCTAAGAGTGCATGCATTTCAAGTCTTTTGTGCTAGTTTGGTTTGTTGATAGTCTAGCTACACACAGGAACATAGGAAAGAGTATTCACATCGCATCTCCAATCACCATATAGGTATAAAACCTGCTGGAGGCTAGAACACCTACAAAGATTGATGCTTGGACAGAAATAAAGGAGAGTTCAGTGCTCAGCATCACCTGGAGAATGGGCATAGCTAGACAGATGTCCCCGTTCAGTTGCTCTTCACCTGTGTAGAATCAACACCTGAGAGCCAGCAGCAGCACTCTAGCCTGGTCTGCGCCCCCCCCCCCCACCCCACCATGTGTGACTTGCGTAGAACAATGTTCTAAAGAGGACAGTTTCCACAGGGTGTGAGGCTCTCCTCCTCAGATTATCACCTTACACAAGTGCAGGACTATGGAAATGCGAGAGGAGCAGCAGGGCTAGAATATTCCTTTTCCTTGTGTGTCTATTCTACACAGTATGATCATTTAAAGAGTTAGTGCTACATTGATGTGGGGCTTCCCAAAAATCACCAGCTATGCTGCATATCCTTTTTTACTACTCTTACAGTTTTGAAATGCTTTCAACACATGTTCAGGACTATAGGATCTGCTGAATGAGACATCAAAATCTGTGTGTGAAAGAGTGTTAGAGAGAGAGCGCTCAGTTAAGCTTTGTTGTCCTATTTTTAGGAAATTTCGCAGTGCAGTGGTATTTTTTCCCTGTCTCCTGCCTGTGTTGTAGTGTGATAACATCTGTTTGGCCACCAGAGGGCAGTCTGGCTCTAAGCTGAGAGAGCAGTTAGCTGTTTTGACTTCTGGGAATTACTGCTCTTCTCTTAATAGGCTGTCTGGTGTCTCCTCTTCCCTTTTGGCATTTCCCTTTATATAGAAATTGAAGTAAGTCTAGTGAAAGTTCATTTTTAATTCTCAAATTGTTCCCCCTGCTTTTCTAGGAAAGATTTATGCCTGATTTTTGTTCCATCAGTTCACAGAATGACAGGGGGAAGTAGATGCATCCTCAAGTAACTTTCTGAGCCTTTCTAGATATGCTTGTATTGTAGCTCTTCTTCAGGAATCTAACAAAATAAATGGTTTTCAAAGACATATTGAACACCAGGGATATGAATCCTCTTGGGACAAACCCCGAATCCAGAAATGAAATAGGATGCTTTAAAGCAATTTGAGTTTTGTCTGAGGTAAAGCAGGATTTCCCCAAGGTAGCCCAAAGTCTATCAGGGTGTTCCCAGGGCCTCAAGCCTGTCTCAGAGATTTGGTGGAAACAGACAAATGTTGCCATTTGGTCCTGCATGGTAAAACATCATGGGATTATTCATTTCTTTAATTGCTTGGCCAGCTGTTGTGAGTCAAGGTAGAGAAGAGTAATTTACTTCCTTCCTTTCTTTGGTTTCTTCATTGCTGCTATAAGCCTTTTATGTTAAAATTGTTTGGATACTCAGATGGTGGTTGAGTTCAAATGAGCACCCCTATGGAAGCTGGTCACAGGCTACATTATTTGCCTAATTACCTTCATAGCATGCCCTTCCCTGGGTTATCTGAGCCCACTGAGGTGCATGGTAGGGTGGCTTCCAGCCAATGGCTTGTTACAGGGTTCTGGAATGGTTTGGCTACTGTGCCTGTCACCAGCTCTGAATGATGTGGCACCCCATGTGCTGTGAGGGTACTGTATAAATTGTACAGTATGTGACAGGCTTGCATGGGGATGGGGAAAAGAAGCGACTTAGAGAACATTACAGAGAACAAAGAGAATAGGAGAACAAAGTCAGTGGGGTTTTCTACATTTACTTCATTCTATCTGTGACTTTTTTCCACAATTATAGTAAGAAAAATAAGGAATGTTGTT